CAGTGGAAACGCGCCATTATGGCGCGTTTCCACTGCAGGCCTCGCTCGGTTTGGTAAGGCCTTATTAGGCCCGGCTCACTTTAATGCTGCGTTTCCATTACAGTTTAGGACCTGGGGCAGTTACTATAGTAACGCAGTGTAGGCGGAGCCGTGACGTCATCTTCAATGAGAGCCCCAGAAAAACAACACAGCCGTTAGCACTCAGAGCTCACAGCTCCTCATATCTGTTCAGAAACTTGACAAAAGTTAAACAAGTACAAACCACAGACTGCCTGTGTCATGGCGAATACAGTCGCTGGTTTATTTATGTCTGTAGGCCGTTGTTGTGAGTGTGGACGGTCGGAGCATATATAACGTTAGCTTAGCCAAGCTACATTTAGAAAACACGCATTTTAAAAGGGTTTTTCGCCTGCCGTCTGTCTGCAGACTTGTCAAAGCATTAATTCATGGTTTTTACTAACCGGTATCAGTATGTTGTTACTTCGGCATCATTTAGAAACGTGTATTACAATTAAATCACGGTCAAATATGTTCATCTTGTTGTAGTTGTAGCCCCCTTGCCAGCGATTCTCTCTCTAATTTAGCATACTCAGCCCGACTCAGCCTGGTTGTTCCTGGCCCTAGAACCACGATTTAGTCGGGCCAGAAAAAAGGTGAAAAAGTAGCCCCGGGCCAAAACTAGGCCAAGTAGAAACGCAACCAAAAACGGACCCCGCACGGCTCGGCACGCTTAAAGCGAGCTACCCGCTGCAGTGGAAACGCGCCATAAAATATACTGAGGCAATGTTTGGGGTGGTGATTTGTAAATAGATTGGAAGCAGATTATAAAACGGGTTGATGACGTCCAGAAATGTTTGTTTTTTAGTTAACACTCACATTCAATCTCACATGGCAAACATTTTTAGGTCAATTTACTTTCACAGCAACAATGTTTGAGTGAGGAACATTGTGTACCTTAAATTATGTGTTAGGACTCGGAGAGGGGCTTAACATGTCGGCAGATGTCTGATCATTATGTCCAATACACTCTGAAACCTTAGGATTTTTACCAAGCTTCAAGAGAGGTGGGATATGTTTCAAGTTTCAAGGCTGTTATTGTTGTCATGTTTGCATAGCTACAGTGTAGATATGACAATGAACATCTTAGGTCACAGTTTCCTCCAACAGTGCAACACAATAAAACAGATTAAATAGTATGAGTAAATAAAATAAGTATATACTTTATATTGTGGTGACACGTTATAGGACATAATTCACCGTGTGTTTAGTGTGTGTTGCAACCCGGACCCGTTAGTGAGGGTACCAGGGTTTGTGGTCATTCAGGCTAGCATGACATGCAGTAGCAGTAAGTGTACTCACCTTGTCTTGATCAATGTATAATAAAGTGTGGAGTTCCATACTGAACACACCGCCTCCGACTCCCATTCATCGGCTCTACACTGGTGACCCCGACGTTTTCAAGAAAGTTTCCGAAGACTCAATGAACATGGCTGATCGCGATGTTTTTGTAAAGCTGCCGGAGTTTTGGGAGCATGCAGCTGTGGCGTGGTTTGCACACGTGGAGGCACACTTTGCCTGCCGACAAGTCCGTGACGGGGATTTGAAATATTTCCACGTGGTAGCAACGATGGGAAGCTCCACGTCATCCAGGTTGAACCATGGATGTGGATGTATGGCTGGGATTCAAGGCCTAGGGGACAGCAAGCCATCTCAGCTGATGGAGAAAATGCTGAATCTGCTAGGGGGGGGGAAGACCCTCGCATTGGCTGAAGAGGCCGACCTTTTTTTTTTGGCTACCCAGCAGCCCGGTGCAGAGGCGCTAGCTGTGACACTCAGCGCCCCCTCAACAGTTAAGAAGGCTTGGGGGAGGCTGGACGCGACAGTAACAAGCCGGCGTGGGGACACAGGAGAGTGTTTTTACCACGCGCGGTTCGGGGCCAGCGCGAAGAAGTGTGTCGCTCCCTGCAGCTACAAGCCTCCGGGAAACAGAGGAGACAGCGCTCGGTAGTGGCCCTGAGCGTTGGCGTCACGAGCAGGATTCTCTTCGTCAGCGACAGAGTCTCAGGAAGCTTGTTTCTGTGTGACACGGGAGCTCAACGGAGTGTAGTTCCTGCTTCGAGGGAAGACGTCGCTTGTGGGTAGGGTTGCCAACTTCCAGAAATGGAGAAACGGGACACATGCATGTGTCCCCCGCGCCTGTGCGCGCAAAGATTTTCGGGTTTCTGGCGGATTTAGTTACTTTTTTAGTTACTCCACCTCCTCACCTGCTGCGACCTCGGTGAGAGGAGGACACAGCTCTTTTAGAATATCCCGAACAGTTTTGGGGCCAAGCACATTGGCTGTTATCATCTCAGCCTTTGTTCTTCCACATTGCATTTTCTTTGCAGTGTTCGAATCACTAAACATGGCACTTGCCCGCTTATTACTGCAGTCCATGCTGTTGTAACTCAAACCATGCTTAACTGTGTGATACACTGATGTTACCTCACATGCAGCAACTTTGTCTTGTTCTGCAGTTGAACTGCCGAACAACCTGCGGATGCCTTTTGGGCTCAAGAACGCCGCCCAAACGTTCCAGCGCCTGATGGATTCGGTGCTGCGGGACCTGCCGTTCGTGTTCATCTACCTGGACGACATACTCGTCGCCAGCGCTTCGGTGGAAGAGCACCTCTCACACCTCCGAGCCCTTTTCACGAGGCTCAGCCAACACGGGTTGATAGTCAATCCTGCAAAGTGCCAGTTCGGGGTGTTTGATATTGACTTCCTCGGACACCGCGTCACCAAAGGCGGTGCAGCACCCCTGCCGGCGAAGGTGGAGGCTGTTGCGGCGTTTCCTCGCCCGCTCACAGCCCGGTCGCTCCGTGAGTTTCTGGGGATGGTGACTTTCTACCACCGTTTCATCGCCCGGGCCGCTCACATTATGCGGCCGCTGTATGAGGCTTTGAAGGATACGACCCCCATCCAGGCGATGGACTGGACTGGAATTTACGGCGTTTGTCGACCACAAGCCGCTCACGTTCGCCATGTCTAAAGTGGCGGAGCCTTGGTCGGCACGTCAGCAGCGGCAGCTTTCCTACATCTCGGAGTTCATCACAGACATTAAGCACGTGGCTGGCAAATCGAACCTGGTTGCAGATTGCCTCACCAGAGTTGTCATCGGAGCCGTCCAGTTGGGCCTGGACTATACTCGCATGGCGGCGGACCAGTTCGTGCCAGTTCGTCTGGCGGGGGCTGAAAAAGGATGTAAGGACTTGGGCTGGTGAGTGCGTTGCTTGTCAGCGCGCTAAAGTGCACCGCCACACGAAGGCCCCTTAGAACGTTTCCTGGTGCCTGAGAGGAGGTTTGACCACGTCAACATCGACCTGGTGGGTCCATTACCCTCCTCTCAGGGCTTTTCCTACCTCCTCACCATGGTGGACAGGACGACCCGTTGGCCGGAGGCGGTCCCTCTCGTGTCAACATCAGCCGCTGACATAGCCCGGGCTTTCATTGCGACGTGGGTGTAGGGCTGTAACGATACACTAATCTCACGATACGATACGATACACGATATTCAGCTCACGATACGATATATATCACGATATTCAGCCAACGATACGATTCGATATAATTCGATACACTTACATCATTTTCTGAAAGATTTTAAAGGGACAGTGTGATTTTGGTGACATCTTGTGAATGTTCCATTGACTTGGATTGAATTAATTCAACTGAAAGCATCAATTATACAATATATGGCTCTGACAGAGAGTCTACAGCTTGCAAATGCTGGACAAAATGAATCAAAAGATGTGGTGAGAAAATTTGTTTCATTTATTGAAACAGTGCAAACTGTAGCTTACAAGCCTTTGAAACGTAAGTACATAAAGTGCAGTATCACAATGGACAATTAAAAGTGCAGCAGGTGGCCTGTTCTGAACAGATTCTTTTACAGCATTTTTAGCTTAACACAGAATATGAGGTAGCCAATAATTCAAGTCACTAAGAACAACATTGAATGTAAAATGTACCTGCCAATAATTCAAGTCCAAAGGAGTAACATTTAAGCCAAAAACACTAAACAGAAAGGCTCCTCTCTACATAACTGCATCTACATTCTCTTCAGATTTTTGTTCAGGAATATAATCTGATCAACGTGGTCTGGGAGAAGTGCACTTCTCTGAGCAGTGACGATATCGCCGGCGGTAGAGAAGACCCTCTCCGAGGAGACACTAGTGCCAGGTACACTCTTAAAACTACTGGGTTAAAAACAACCCAATCTGGGTTGTTTCCCAACCCAGCGCTGGTTAAATATTGGACAGAACACAAGCTGGGTTAATATAACCCAACAAATTGGGTTGTTTTTATTACCCAACAAATTGGGTTGGTTATTTAACCCAATGAAGGGTTCACGTTGACTACACTGCTGGGTTTAGTTGTTAATGTATAATTATGAATTATTACTAATTATAATGGTTTGTTTTCCCTTTTATAATTGACATTTTATTGGCACAACTGATAGTCATGAATTTAACAATTATCACAATCACAATTGTGTGATTGTTGGCATTTACTCACCTCTGATCCTTCGGTTGTTTTCTTGATCAAATATATTCTCACACCAATGTAACAATAATTATTTATTCAAATTAAAATCACAGAATCAAAACACATCAAAAAATGTAATTCCCAGTTCCTCACACAAGGGTTATTGATACTAGGAGATGTGGAACAAGAGGGAGAGGAGAGAGAAAGGAAGAGATGGGTGGGGGGGATGCAGGCCAGTCTAGTTACAAGCATGTATTTGCATTTTCAGGAACTTCACTGCTGGGGAAACAGTTCCCTCGAGTTCATAAACAACATCCTGGAAGAATTGCCAAGTAGGCAAACACTGATTTGTATAGTTCATGTCAAAGACATAAAAACTCTTGAAACAGGTATCCACAGCTGCGAGAGCCGTCTCAGTCTCAATAGCCTTGCCTGAGAGCACAGCATCCCATCCTGAAGCAGTAGCACGAACTGGACGATTTGGCTTGCTCCAAATACTCCACCATGTTAGTTCCGACCTATGATGAGAAAGAAAAGAAAAAAGATAAGTATTTCTACCGGTGCAGAGAAATTGTCATCAGCTCTCTACTGAAGCTCTTTCAACCCTCTCCCACCCCATCAGCTGATTTAAGAAAGAAGCCCTAAATTCAATGGCGTGGTCTTAAACAATTTATTCTGGGTGCGTGGCCAGTCTACTTATGTGTGGTCTGTGGTTTATACATCCCACGTCGATATGGAGTAACAATTTACACCGAGTTACAACTTGTAATAATAGTGCTTCATGAAATGAGTATTCTGACAAACGTCAAGCTGTGTCACTCATTCCACGAATACAATCTTTACAAGTTGCACCTCGTTGTAAAGAGGAATCAGGCTTTCCAACAGTGTTAAAGAATGATTGGAGTCATTTCACTATGAATTTATATTTGAATTTCTGTTCAAAGGTAAATAACTTACGGGCTTAACATCAGTGAAGAATGATTTAGATTCTTCCACACTGGCACGGACCAATTTTCTGCCCTGTTTATATACAGGCGGAGGGAGCATGACAGGCAGCAGCATCAGGGCTACTTCTCCCCTGGCATCTGTAGAAGGACAATTATGGGTGTCAATATAGACTCGAATAGTCGTATAATACAATAAAATAAAGTTCCACATCAATCAAATCACCAAAAAATATGTCTTTCTTGTTTGAGTGTTCTGTTAGTTAAGTTCTTATGTATAGTGCATTTGAGTATCCAGAAAAGCATGATATAAAAACAAACTCCTTATTATTATTAGTAAGGTATTCTTTACATTTGCTAAGTTTGTTATAAAATAACGATCTTACCCAGATTGATCTGTTCCTCTGGCAATGCGAGTTTCCCTTCGCGTTTCGCCAGACGAATGATCTTGTCAGCGTAAAGAGGAACCCACGTTTCGAAGAGTTTAGGTGCAGGCTCAAAGAGGATCGAAAAATCTTGTGCAATCTAAAAGATGGAGACAAATTGAGAAACATGGTCATTTAGACAATATACTCACTATTCCTCGTGCATAGTAAAAAAGTACATTTTCCTGACCATAAAGTGAGGAAGTTTTAAATACAGGACAAATAAAGATATTGACATAATTCAGGGCAAGTTGACAAGACCTATGATGGCTGAGCTCCAATACTTAAAGAAGCAAGGTTAATAAAAGCATGACCAAGATTTAGCCTGTAGGAATCCAAACTCACGAGTAGTGACAATGCATAACATAATGTGCACAAGCTACTGTATGTGCACAAGAATTATATGCACCAACTCTACTACTTCTGAAAAGAAGTGGGCTTTATACAGCATGTCCTGTGTATACTATTGGATTAACCCATTTAGACCTGAGGCCGATTCTAAAAACGCCTTCTAAATCCTGACCTAAGTTTTCTGAAAAACTTCAAATATTTATTCAAAAATTACAAAAGATGTATGTTTCTATATACTGTACATAGCAACAGGGTTCCTGTCCTGAAAGGTATAGTTATTCCTCAGGTCCCCAAAAACATGGTCCATGTGATTTTCTTTCAAAAGAAGCAATATATTCCATTTTGTGTCGCTCTGTCCTAATTCTCCTTTAAGCAATGAGTAGTTTCCATTCTCACAAAATGGCTAAACGCGTCTCCTCCTGGAGGAGAGCCTGGCTTCTATTTACCAAACTGCTCTAGCAAACAGGCGCCAGGCTGTACATATATTTCAGTTTTGACATACCATGCCTGGAGTAGTAAGACGAGGGAACATGGCCAGGACTTCGGGAATGGACTTCGAGTGCTCGGCCCGTATCCATCCTGCCCTGTACTGGCAGCTGTCGCGCATAAATGCCTCCACCTGGGCGAGGGGCGGTGAGTTATTCTTCAACCATTCTGCAAACTGCACAGCTCGCTCTTCGGATATGGTGGCTGCTGTAAAATACAAAAGATCACACTGTTGTCAAATATAAATATTACACCAGGCCATGCGACCCCGGTGATCTCTCAATGTGCTATACACTATTTTCTTATGTCACTGATATGACAGGGTTCCATAGGTTTGAAGTGATGCATACGTGTGCCAACTTCCTGGTATATAAACGTAGGGAAATCCTCTGAGACAACATTGATGCAGCAATTGAGGCAGTTTCACAGAAAAACTAAATTAATGGAATAACAGCTCTAAAGCCAGAGCAGAATTCTGCACTGAGATTTAAGATGCAGAATTACAGGCTGCGTAACAAATATGACGCCATAGAGAATACTTTGTTTGTCTGTCAGATTACAAATACCACTCTAAACCAGAGGCAAATCTGGGACAGACATTGCATTACCTGGTATGACTATCCTGCTGGGCACAGTGTCTTGTTCCCTCTGTGGCCTGGGCCCGCACGAGCTCCTCCTCAACTGCTTCCTGATATTACGGAGTCTTTCCTCTAGGAACCCGGTTGCTGGGTGGTGGGATCGCCCCTTGGCATACCATGTTCCCTCACAAGATATTAGAATAATCCCCATATAAGCCCATGAGCCTAAAATGTCTACTTGACCCTGTGCATATACATTCAATTAAAAAAAAGAATCAATCTTTTTTTAGATAGTATTTAGTTTTACTTCACAAAAAGTACTCACAAAACCACTGTCATCGTTTAAGCAGGGGAATGCATGAATCAAGGCGGAAGCCAGGGCAGTTTTCATCACCGCGGTAGGTCTGAAAATGGCCAACATGTACAGATACAATCATTAGACAATAAAACAGTTGTCATACTGTAAAAACATTCTAAATGTCAACAAGACAAGTAACAGTATTTGAGAACATTGTGGTCTTAGGCCAGGAGCCCATCTCCTGTGTATGTTGCGTCAGACAGCTTGATGTACACGTACAATCTTAGGACATAGGTCTAACGCCAATATGCCACAGGGACTTACCCCTAATCCTACCCTTGATACTGAAAGCCAAGCAGGGAGGTATCGGTTACCATTTTGAACAGTATTTGGTATGACTTGGCCGGGGATCGAAGTCATGACCTTTCAAAGTCAGGGCGGACACTAATCTAAAAAAGAAATCCTCCTTCTGTAAAATTGTACTCACGTTTCTCCACATTTTTCAATGAGGTGAGACACCAAAATCCGCACCATGGCCTTTCTTTCCTTTCCTGTGATCAGTTGGTCTGTGTCCAGGCTCTCCACTATAGACCTGCCCTCAGACACGGCAGAAAGAACGCATGTAGTTAAATGTTCTACCGCAGCCAATTTCACAACACTGGAAATAGTTTGCAGCATAATTAACATGATGTACCGCACGTAAATGGATAAAAAGACTTCTCACATCCCCAGGAATTCGAGTTTTACATCTAAAGCAAACATATCCCATGACTCATCTGAATTCTGAACTAAAAGGGCAAGCAGTGAAGGGTAACGTCTGTCTGTCAGTCCGTCCGTCTGAATTTAGAACATGGTGAATGTGTATGCATAACTTACAAATTCATTATGTTTGTTAATGAATTTTAGCCTCTCGCCTATTCTGGGGGTCAAGGTGGTGATGGTGTGAAGATCCAGGTACCCAAAGCTTTCTTCATCAATAGCCTCATCTGAAAGACAGAACACAAAATATTACTAGTGACCATCCATATAAACCACAAGCTCTATAAAGGTCTAGGACTAAAACTGCAACTCATGAATAAATATTAGGGTCTGGGTGCCATATAATGGATAATAAATTAATCCTACAGTATTAGCAGTGTTTCCCCTAGGATGGAGTCATAGCAGCGGTGCTAAGGCACGTGGGCCCAGCATAATGTGAGCGCGGAGCTCACTGGAATGTTTTAGTGTGTGCACGTGTGAAGTGCGCCCCGCCAATTTGTTTCTATGTGTCTGCCAGCACAAGAAAGGCTCTCGAAGCCTTTTCCAGGACCGGTTCTAGCCAATTTGCTGCCCTAGGCGAGATTTTATAAAGAATAGATGAAAAGACAAATACACTACAAAAACAGAAACGTATTGACATAGTTAATATACATCAAAATGGCTTCAATCGGCCCTGCCTAGTACATACAGTAGCAATGTCTCAAGATTTAGCAAAAATGCACCTTTATTGAACATACAGTAACACAAATACTACAAATCCACATAACAAACAATCAAAAATGAAAAAGGGTCGCCACTTATTATTATTTTAATAAAAAAATATTTTATTAAAACAAATATTATTATTTGTTTTGGGTCCCTGGCTGGCGCCCCCTAGCAGCGGCGCGCAGGCGCTGCCCCGCCACTATTTGTATAAGTAGTGCAGCTGAACACCAGCCATGCACCTGATTTGTGTGGGAACACTCAGAGCTCACAGCTCTTCATATCTGTTCAGAAACTAGACAAAAGTTAAACAAGTACAAACCACAGACTGCCTGTGTCATGGCGAATACAGTCACTGGTTTATTTATGTCTGTATAGGCCGTTGTTGTGAGTGTGGACGGTTGGAGCATATATAACGTTAGCTTAGCCAAGCGTTTAGAAAAACACGCATTTTAAAAGGGTGTTTCTCTGCCGTCTGTCTGCAGACTTGTCAAAGCATTAATTCATGGTTTTTACTAACCGGTATCAGTATGTTGTTACTTCGGCATCATTTTGAAACGTGTATTACAATTAAATCACGGTCAAATATGTTCCTTTTGTTGTAGTTGTAGCCCCCTTACCAGCGATTACCGCGCCAAAAGTGAGCCGGGCCTAATGAGGCCTAACCAAACCGAGCGAGGCCTGCAGTGGAAACGCGCCAATAATAATGACAGGGACTGAACCATAACACAGTACCCATAAAATGAAGGCATGGAGATGACTTATAAATTAGCTTACCTCTGAACCTTTCTATCAGCCCTGGAAGCTGCCACTCAATCAACTTTGAAGTCACAAAATCGTCCATAGATTGTTCGTATCAACCTGAAACATCAACACAGACAGAGTCTATTAAGAAAAAAACATACAATAACATGAAATAAGATTCAGTAGTCCAAACGTCTTTTCACTGTTTTAACATAACGGTTAGGCCTAACGTTAACGTTACCAAAGTTTTAGTCGGCGGTTAAACGGATGCCGTGGAAAGCCTGGTGAGCTAGCTAGGTGAGGCCTGCTAGCATGCAGAGGCTAGCTGATTCACTAGCTACACTACATGACACATTTCTCGGGTCATTTTGAGTAACAACAACATAGTGTGTTTGCTACATAGCTAGCCAGCTAACGTGTTAGCTTACTACTTTGATGCAATGTACACAATAGTGCTCCACGAACTTACATCTTAACAACAATATGACGCTTTATATAATAATAATATCAAGTCAACTACATGGTAAAACAATGTATATGTAATGTATGTAAAAAACCTTACTTTGAGTCTGCTCTCTTCACTTACTGGGACCGTCTGACCAAAACTTAACTGTCGTGTTGGAGCGGGAGAGTAGTGGGAGGTGCTTGGTTTCGCGGGTTGTGCACGTCAACCCAATGTGTTGGGTATTCCAAAACAACCCAACACAACCTCATAGAAATGGCAACCCAACAGCTAATAACTCTATACCCAACAGAAATAACCTAGCGAATTGGGTTCTCAGAATACCCATTTCCATCAAAATAACCCAATTAAATTAACCAACAGGCTCAACCCAGTGGTTGGGTTGACAAAACAACCCAACATTTTTAAGAGTGTATGGAGTCAGATTTGGGTCAATTATCTCGCGCGTAAAACAAGCTACTCACGAGCGGAAAATGTGCTTTTACACGCGCATAAAATGACCCTCGCGCGCAGATTAAACCCCCGCGAGCGGCTCTGCGCTCGCTCGCGAGAGAGACAGCCCTCTTGCTTGCTCGCGGGAGTGTCAGCCTCGCGGAGTCTGTCTACGCGCGCGTGAAAAGTTTCTGTTACTTTGGGGCGGAGCCACTGGACTTTGATTGACAGCTGCCAGGAAACCCGGGGTTGCCAGGTTTGATAAATGCCTGAACTGCCAAGAGCCGAGCAGTGACGGCAGCAAAATCAGTTGGACGAGATTGAATGGTAAAGTTGTCCATAAAAAACTATTATATTCGTAAAGTGTACAGCTAATATATATATATATGATTCTGTTTTCTTCAAGGTTGTGTCTTCCTGGTCGAATGTACTTATTGTAAATCGCTTTGGATACAAGCGTCAGCTAAATGCAATGTAATGTAATATACATTAATTTGATATAAAACAATATATTTTTCAGTGGGCTGTGTCCGTCGAAAACTGCTAGCTACTGTCTGCTGTACGCATAGATATATATATAAACACTAGATGGCTCATGGGAGATTTTCCAGCGTAGCTCACCGGCCGCCATCTTGCTACAGTCAACAGCTACTCTGGTACGCGCTATGGTAGCTGTTGTAAGGTGAGTGATCTGCACACAAATACTCTTAAATCGCTGAAATCTTGACTGATTTACAAACGGTTTTGTTTATTATAAACGTTATTAGCATGGCTATGATACAGGATGCTTGGACATGTTGAAATTGCAGCTTTTCTTTGTGTATGTGGTTGTATTTATTAGCTGGCTAATAACAAGAGGCTGTGAGTGAGACCTAGTATTAAGAAGTTCACCCAGCAACTTTACACCAGTGGGAGAGGCATAACTGCTCTTTCTTTTCAACATAACTTAAGTTACACATGATTTCTTCCAAGTGGTTTGGCTTGTTAAAAACATCTTACATTTTTAGATACATTATGATACAGGAAATTGCTGGCTTTGTGTTTACAGAAGTACCTGACTATGCTTGACTTTTGTGCAGCCTACGGCTGCTCTAATCGCCGCAGTCTGCAAACAAGAACCCGTGGAATCACCTTTCACGTGTAAGATATGACAATATTATGACTATAATTAGGATAATCATTAATTACTTAGTGGATGTATGTACATTACAAGTCCTGCTACACAGGATCAGTGGGGCTATGTGAGATAATAGTATTGCAAGATTGATGTTGACCCAGCCTCTTTAGAATATATTGCTACCCAGGGGCGGCGGGTGCTGTAGGCTAGGGAAGGCTAAGCCTTCCCAAATATTTGTGTCACTGCATCCTGGTAAAATAAAAATATAATGTATAATGTGTGTGTCTTTGACATTAGCGCTGCTATGCAGCCACCTGTGCCCTGTGCTACGAAGCCAGTTCAACAGACCCTGGATATGTTTGAATTATCTTAACTAACCCTAACAAATGAGATTTCGCTAAGTGGTCCACGAAGCTGGTTATCAACTCGGTGAATCAAGCCAGGGTTTCTCTCTCCAGCTGAGAACGCGTTCACGTGAAAGGGGCGGGGTTAGCTACATTTGACCAATCACAAACAGGGACAAGTGTACTGACAGCGCAGCGTCATACTTCATTAATGAAAAGTAAACTAATATTAGACAAATATGAACTTTAACCATCCATGACTTAAACATATAATCCAGGATACGAGCCACATAGTTGCACCTGCAAGGAGAATATAGAACAACTGGTTAAAAAATAAACTACCGAGTGTTTGAAAACAGTTTTATGATACTGCCCCATCTAAGACACGAGTGGATCTGACTTTATTACATTTGAGTTGAGTGTTTCGTCAACTTAATGTGTTGCTTAAAATAATACGTCTGCATACAGTATATGTGACAATGTAAGTGTTGCACGGCCAGATACGGCTCGAGAAGCTGACTCAGATAAGGAAATATTGTGATATTATATGATCGATGATCTGATTGATGATGTGATGTCAGTGTGATATGAATGATAAGTGTGACACGTCGACGTCTTCTCTGCATACGGCAGTTTAAACTGTATTTCCTTTCTCCTGTAATATGACTTGATATATTTAAACTCCGCACACTGAGCTCTGATCGGTCAGCAGGCGGTGCTTTCACTGAGTTCATCTCTTTTCTATAAACGCCGGAGGCGGGCAGCGTCAGATGAAAAAAGGAGTTATTTAGCCTTCCCAAACCTGAGCCTCATGCGCCGCCTATGTTGCTACCATTTCTTTACACAATTATGTAATGTTTCTTTTGGACACCTTTAGTATTACTCTTAGTGTGGTTGTCTTATTCTTAAAGTATACATACATACATACATACATACAATTACCCCAAAAATATGATAATTTCGGTGTGTATTTTTGTCCTTACCCTTAATGTTAAAGGAAAGAAGGGCGGACAATGTTGACAATAATTTATATATCTGGCTACCTTTCTCATGTTTTTAAGGTTTCCCAAAAGCGGAGAGAGGAGGAGGCAGTGGGAACTCGCCCTAAGAAGGGACGGTTTTGTTTCCTCTGGCAGGACGCTGCTCTGCAGTGAGTACTTCAGGAGTGAGGACTTTGACAGGACGGGGCAGACTGTCCGGCTTAAAGATGGTGTTGTGCCAACAGTATTCAATTTTCCAGCTCATCTTCAAAGGGTATGTGTATCATTGGCCAACAAGAATTCAAGGTGTATAAGATTGATTGATAAATATGTGATTAAATGTCACACTTTAGTTTTTCTTTCTGCAAGTTTAGGAATAAATAATGTGTTGTGTATTACAGCACATTTTAAACACTCAAAATGTCTTTAATTATGT